AGAATGCTGATCCTTCATTTCCTCTTTTTCAGACTCGCTGGCTCGCTTGCCTAGAACACTGTTATTGACAGCGCTTGTCCCGCTCTGAGAGACAGCCGACATCGGGGTCTGCGGCGGCGTAGTAAGTGGCAGAGTTGGTGGTTGTGACGAATGCGTTGCTGTGACTAACGGCACAGATCCGAGTGTCGGTGTCGGGTTATTGACAACAGATCCCGTTGCCTGCTGCGCAGTAGATTGCGTAGCAATCGAGGATACAGAGTTAGACCGCGCAGGGCTTGCCGGAGGCACTGGTGGTATTGGAGTTGCGTTGCCTGGAGCCGTTCCCGGGATTTGTTTCGCCGAGTTTGGTGCATGACCCGTGGACTGTACGCCAGAAGTTGAAGTCTGGTGGGCGGTTGACACTGGAGCAGTATAGGGTTGACCCAACTCTCCTGGTGCAAACGTAAGAGTAGAGCAAAAGCCATCCGATGAGCTCATTATCAATGTCAAACCATCGTTCGACCTAATCCATTGTTAAATTACGACGCGGCCCGGGTAAGGAAATCGACTTACCATGTCAAGTCAGTAAAGGTTGCGAAATGTAAATTGCTGACTACGCAAATCGGAGCTTGTTGCTGGGTATCATACACCAAGACGGAGTCCTGAGTAGCCACTGCATATACGATTCGGTATGGTAATGCAAAAACAGGCATTGGTCCTGGAGTGGTGGAAGGGCTTTCGTCCTTGGATGTCTGGTTGATCTTTGCCGTGTCGCCCGCAGTATGTGCCGATGTTGGAGGCTCCATAGATGGACGGTCAGTGGTCGAATTTACTACAGGATCAGGAAGAGAGGCAAATGTTTCCTCTCCAGAAGAAGTATCCAAAGTAATATGACGAGCCGGCTGGGAGGCCTGTCGCAATGTATAGAAGATGGGAGAGCATTTCACCGCAACAGAAGGCTTCTTGTGGCCTGGAAGGTGGGAGATTGGAGGTTTGTTGAAACCTGCCCGGGTATAAACGTAAACGGTGTTGATGATCTCGTCCGTAGTTTTGGTGGGATCTGTCGCAGACATATGCGAAGTCTTGTACTGACCCGCCGGTGTAAACAGCAAGCTGCCATCGGGAGCGAAAGTCAATCGCCTAAAAAAAGACGTGAAAGTTTCATTGGCATAGATGTTAGCATTCTTGACGCCCAGCCCACCTAGAAGCCCCGGTGATGGTACTTCAAGAGGCTTCACCGCTGGCAACGGTAGAGATGGCGCGGGGGACGCAGAGCGGCGGATCGATGGGGAGGAACCAAATGACGACCTGCGACTATGGGAAACGGGCGGAGGGTCCATTGGCAAGTTAGCCATTGGCGTGCCCGGAGTCGACGGCGCTGGAGAAGTGATTGCAGCTGCACTGGCAGTAGCCGGTTGCGACCGCACGGAGGTGTCCTGGGGAGCCGGACTGGCCGAGATACGCTTGGCTGGCAAGTCCATCTTCAAAAACTTGCCATGAGAGGTAAGTGTGAACTGGCCATCTTTTGTCTTCAGGCTATAGATGTGTACAGATCTGTCCGATGACTGTGTAGCGACAAATTCGTTGAGGGGATCCCAAGCCACTCCTTGAACATAATGCGAATGTTCCGCGATCTGGCGCACCATTTGTCCTGCGAGTTTCAAGCATCAGGAACCCATTGACGGAAAGGAGGAGCACGCAGACGAAGTCCAGGTTGGGAAGCAACGTACCTGTTTGGGCGTTATATATCCGCGCAATATTGTCCATACTCCCTGTGATGATGAACACGCCGTCCGGGGACCACGCCAGGTCATAAATTTCAGCTCCGGACGAGCGACACATATGCTTCACCCTCCATGTCTCTTTATCATCCGACCGATCCTCTCCCAGTGGAGCCTGGGTCTGCAGCTCCGACGGTACCCAAAGGAGCACGTTACCGTCGTCTCCAGCAGATGCCAGCATCTCGCCTAAATGTAAGAGGTTAGCTACCACGGGAAAACGGTCCCCGCGTGAAAGATTGCAACCCGCACCTTTTGGACTGAACCGAACGACATTGACGGCTTGTGTATGTTTCACCAGTGTACTCAGGTAGGACACCTTTCGTTCTTCGCCTGTTGATTCCACTCTCCATAGCTATGGTGGTTTCTGTCAGAAATGGTGGGTATGATCACAAGAAGGGGAGGTCACGAGGGGAAAGATAAGGTGGTGAGGGGACCGTACGCGGACATTGTTGTCACTATAGAATAGAGCGAACGTATTAGTAACCCAGCTCTTCAAATCAAGTATAAAAACATAGAAGCATACTTTCCGGCCGTCGCCAGGCGCCCTTTCCCATTGGGGTCGAAATGAACCGAGTAGATTGGGGCATTATCGTTGTGCCATGCGATGAGCAACGGGGTAGCCTTCATGGCGAGCACGGGAGCTCCAATGGGCTCCCCAAAGACTGGTGGACGGTGACCAGAGTGTATCTGATTGGAAACAGGGTTTCGCGGGAAAAGAAAGACGTTGTGTTAAAAGAGAGGGGAGGAGTCGTTGCAGGTCAAGTCAGTGGGTAGAGTAGAGGAGTAGGAGAACCTGTGCGGAGGTTAATTAGGAGCCGTGGAACAGAGTGACGAGGGCAACGGAGGACGTTTTGGCGCCACAGATGGGGAAAGTTGGGGGGGTGGAGGGAAGTGGAAGTTATTTTCAAACGGTGGAATTACCTAAGAGGTTGAATCCGGGTATGTACCAAGGGAAAAAAGAAAGAGACAGCAAGTGGTGATGTCGACTTGAATTGCAGTTCGTCATTTCCCGTGTCGGACTTTCTCGTGTCTCGAACGCGCCTGACAAATGAGCGACTGCGTGACCGTCAGCTCTTTCAACTTCAGTCCTTTGATACTACTGATTGGTAGGGCTGGTATACTCCCCTCTTGCGTACAAATGCACCTGGTAAGACCTCCTTGTCTATAGGTTTCATTTCCTGCGATTTGTATCTTTGTATTTTTGTATTTTTATTTTTCTAAATTTGGTTTAACCCTTCACTACATTCTATCATTCCTGGTCATATACCTCTAGATAGTCATCAGATTCATGTGATATTGGCATGTCTCGCTATCATATCAATTCAATTCTCCTCAAAGATGCGCCCTCGTGTTCAAATCCGACTAGGTATTGGGTAACAACAAGAGTAACAAAGATAATAATATATAATAATAATACAAGAAGAATGAAACCTTCCCAAGGCACCATGAAACCGCCAATGCCAATTGGGAATTCTATGTAACCCATTTGCCTATTGTTTCTCCAAACCAACTAACGGCTTTCTCTCGCCGTTTCTGGCGCGCATCGTCATGAGTCTTTATGAAAGGAGATGCCTCTTGCGCGTACCTCTTCTGCTGTTCCAGTTGTGCATAGTGGGAGCGGATCTCCAGCTCGCGTTCATGTGGTGTGAGTTGTTCCAATGGCTTGGATGGCTTGAATCCGGGCGGAATGGCCTCGCCTCCGGGGATTTCCAGGGAGCCTGAGGTATTTTCGGCCTTCTGCGGCTGGGTTTTTCCCTGGGGGTTGAAGAGGGATGTGAGAGGCGGAGGTTCCTGGCCAGCCGCTCGGGCCTCCTCAACTTGTTTCTCATAATCCAGCATCTCATGGTAGAGCTTATCGGCGTGCATCTGGATCTTTTCCTCTCGCTCGTCGTCCCATTCAAACGAGGAGGAGTAGCCCAATGCCTGGAGGAATTTCTAATCCCACATTAGCAATTGTCCAGCAGCAGCCGCGACGAAGGCAGAAAGGCTGAAGGCATAAGTTCCGCGAGGTCTTCACTTACAGCTTGAGTAGTAAAGCACCGAGAGAATTTCCCATTTTCCTCGGAGCACAAAGTCATACGAGACATGAGTCGTTTCTGCAAGTTTCCGTTTTGGAAACACAACGTCAAATCCTCATGTTCCAGTGCGCAGTTCTCCATCGCTGCGCGGTGTACGGTATCATTTCGTGACTTGTACTTTTCAATCACCCTGGAAGCGCCCTTCACTTCAGTGTTTTCCTCGGTTGGCGGTTTGTAAGTCTTCCAGAGATGGGCGTAACGGCCGTCGGGGTAAAGTGAGGCAGCAGGAACCGCAGGTTTCGAAGGCTCGGTGTTTTCGGCTGGTTGCGCTGATTGAGCTTGTGCATCTCCTGTCTTGGAAGAATCCGGGGGCACTGCGGTCGCAGGGACGTATTTCTTTGGGGCTTCATGTTCGAGATATTCTCGGAGACCCGGGTCAAGCTTCTTGACAGGGTCGTCTTGATTCGAGTTGCCCCAGAACCAACCCATGACTGCGACAAGGGTCTAAACACTTGAGCAAGAGATAGTACGGTTCGGTCAGCTTAGCACTGGTGGTGTCAATTGAGATTTCTCGGCTTTCAGGGCCAAATTCCAAAAAGTATATGCGGAGAAGATTGAACTTCCTTTGGTGATCAACTCGGGCGGAGCGACTAAAGCCGCCAAACCGTTTTGGGCTGACGGAATACCCTCAGAAAGCCAGAAATCGACTTGACCTGGTTTATCAATCACTCTCACTGTACTAAGTTCTGGCAGTTCAAGAAATACATGTCCATGGCATGCTTGTTCGGCTCTGTCGGTTTCAGTTCTACTTTTCTTCACAAGCTCACCTAGTCACTGGATCCCACATGACTAGCAGTCTTGAACTATGAGCGGCTTTATGGGTTGAATAAATATATATGGCTCCTTTACTCTTCCCACATCCCTCTACTACCTATTTTTCTTCTGCTTTTCACCTTTTCGTGGATCTCTTTCTACCAGTTATACCTACCGATATGTTCTAGAAACCTCACCACATAATTTCCGTTATATACAAAAACGATATCCAGCGCAGCGAGCAAGAATACTTGCTGCCAAGCATCGAGGCCACGCCTTTCCCGAACCAGAACGACCAAACTATTTTCGGTAACTCAGCATCCCCGAAAGTATGATCGATTACACGCTCCATCATTGATTTCGGCGCAACACCTCCTTGAACCTTTACCCTCAAACTGCGCGTAGATTTGCGCGTTGAGCTCGCCGAGGCGCCGCTTCTCGATCATGGCCTCCAGTATGCACTCATGAAGCCGCTGAATCTATCTTCAAACTAACGAATCCCGCAGATCGAGAGGAGCGGCTGCAAATGCGGCAGCGCGGCGCTGGGTACGCGCTGGCCTTACCCCGCGACCGATTGAAGAAGTCCACAAAGAGCTGACATTGTAAATCATGAACTAGGACACGCAAGATCAAGGAAGTGAATTTTGGCTTTGCTTTCGGTCTCGCTCCCCCGCCCGAAGAGCCGCCTCAAGCCGCGTCGCAACCCGTCGATGTTGACATTCCCACCGAACCGCTCGCCGCACCACAGCCACCTTCAGCTTCGGAGATACGCAACCTCCTCTGTTATCGCCAGAAAAGCAGCTTCCACCATCATCACAAGATAGTGGACAGCTCCGAACTCCGGGCGGGGCGCGTAATCAGCTCCCCGAGCGACCATCAACATTTGACATACCGGAAGATGATGCGTTGGACCTTGGACGAAGCGGCAAGCGAAGAAAGATTGGTATGTGCATGGAATATTATCATGATTCTATCTACTATCTAACACCACCATAGAGCTCCCTAGCCAGAGTCCGAGAGTATCCGTCGAGCCAGAAGTCACGCAACAGGATAAACGAGACTCGCCAGTTCTCCAAAATGGCGTACATACAAGCGCGCCTGTGTCTAGCAAGCCGACAGAACCACGCGACGAACCCCCAAGCATGCAAACTACTACAGATACACCCCAAACGGAGCAGGCACCCCAAGAAGCGCTCGATTTGACTACCGCCATGGTATCGGACACCCCGGCAGCTGAGGCGCCCATCCCGGAGGATGAACGTTCAGACCAAAATAATATGAACCAGAAGTCCACGGAGCCTCCAAACGAGTCTTCCGGGGCAGATGGAACGCCGGCGCTTGGAGCCACCACGAACGGCAAGCGTAAACGACGAGGGCCCAGTGCCGATCAGCGACGGTCCCAGAGTATTGAGCGGCCGGAGACTGAGACTGAGACCACACAGCAGCCAGCGCCACAGGAGCTATCATTGGAGACGAATCGTGATAAATCCATGGAAGCGGACTCTCCTAATTCACAGCCTGGGAGACGGTCCAGAGGCCGACCGCGAACATCAGCACAATCATCCCCAGCAACAAATGAAGGGAGCGCGCAGAATGAGGCCGCCTCAACAGAAATCATGCCGGGCGAGAGCATACCGACCCAACAACAGACAACGAAAAGGCCTCGGGGTAGAAAAGCAAAAGAGCCGACGGAAGATTCTGCTGCCAGTGAAACGCAAAATGGCCAGCCTATGGATGAGGGTACTGTGGCGGAGGAGGATGATATGGCTTCATCTGAAAGAAGTCGCCAATTGCGCCAAAAGTCAAAGGAGACGAATCACACACAAAGGCAAGTTGGACGTCCCGGTAAGAAAGCTCTCCAGTCGCTGGAGAGTGTAGAGGCACCAGGACCAGCTGGTGAGAAGAGAAAACAGAGAAAAAGGCTGGAATCCGAGCCTGAGCCGGAGGTTGAAACAGAAGGTTCAAAGGAGCCCAAACCAGCTGGCGAAAAGAGGAAACGAGGAAGGAGGTCAAAAGAGGAGTCAGAGCCGGAGCCTGAGCTGCAGCCCCAGAGTGAACCTCAGAACGAGTCCGAGGTTCCAAAAGAACCCAAACCAGCTGTCGAAATGAGGAAACGCAGAAAGAGGCCAGACCAGGAGCAGGAGCAGGAGCAGGAGGTAGAACCGGAGGTGGAGCCCGAGCCCGAGGTTTCAAGAGAATCTGAATCAGCTCCCGAGAAGAGAAAGCGGGGAAGAAGGGCCAGAGGGGAGCAAGAGCTGGAGCCAGAACCTGAGCGCCAACCTGAAGCTCCTGAGGAGCCTGGACCAGCTACCGAAAAGAGGAAACGGAGAGGAAGGTCATATCAAGAACCTGAACAGGAACCGGAGCCGGAGACCCAAGCTGAGCTTGACCCTGGATCTTCAAAGGAGGCAAAATCAGCTGGTGAAAAGAGGAAGCGAGGAAGACGATCAAAAGAGGAGCGAGAACCGGAGCCAGAGCCTGAGGGCCAAACCGAAGCTCCCGAGGAGCCAGAGCCAGCGCCAGCTCCCAAACGTGGTCGCGGCCGACCTTCACTATCCAATAAGGGTCCTGAAGTCACCCAGCGTGAGGAAGACCCTGAGGCTCAGAATGAAAGTGGGGAGGCGGCTTCTCGCACGACTAGAAGGAAGCCCAGACAGCCTCGTGGAGAGACAGTTCCTGTAACTGTCCATCGTCTCGCTAATGTCGCTTCTCTTGGAGGCGATGTTCAACCTTCCGAGGAATCCGACGAGGAGGAGGAATCTGCCGATGAGCTCTCGACGAGACAGAAGACTAAACTCCCTAGTAGGGGAGGCGTGAATGTCGCCGATGTTCTTAGTCAAATCTGCCGAGAAACACTCGAGAAGACGCTTACCACACTCACGAACGGAATCTCCAACGAGGGGAATGCAGCACGACGCTCAGAGTGGACCACCAAGAAAAAAGCCGTGGAAGCATTCGGCACCGAGCTCGAAGGACGCCTCTTTGAACTGAGCGAAATGCTCGACAGTAACTTCGTATTGGGGGTCAAACTGAAGAAGGCCAAGCGGGACATGATGGATATGCGCAGCCGACTGTATCAACTACGAAAAGAAAGGGAGGTCGTGGCATTGCAGATGGATGCAGTACGCAGGAAGCACACGGAGGAGGAAAATGCAAGCCTGGTAAGTCGGCCCGCGCAACAATACTGTTGTCGCTTGACGTTGTAGCTAACACCATACTAGGCGCGCACCAACATCAACAATTCGCTGCACAGCCTAGACCTAGCCCTCGAACGAAGCCAGAACCGGCCTGCAGGCGACTCGGCCGAGCCAGGTTCGTCCGAACCCTCTTTGACCGTTGGACTAGAGTTCATGCTCCGTAGTGTTGCGGACAACGTGAGCTCCCGCGCCCTGGAGCGCAAGGGGGTCTCTTGAACCAGATCAAAGCGTTCAATGCGCAGCTTGAGGCTGCCGCACGAACCCTTGAGAGTTGATTTCTGATTTATTGATTTTTTTTTTTTTTTTTTTTCATCTTCGATTTCCGTTCTCAAATACCCTGCAGCATGGCAATAGTTTCGTATTTGTCTGATGAATATGTATGATGGCGATGGCAGTATACCATAGGTTCAGTGGCTTTGCTTTATTCAATTTTTTTTTTGTTTGTTTTTGGATACTTTGTTTTATTACTCTTTGCTCTTCTTCTACCGGTGGCGAAGAACGCCGACCCAGATAGCATTCAAGGTGTTCCGGTGGATTACGGGCGGACGCTTCTTAGTATAGGGACCGCCTTGTGGATGGAAATATAATGCGACGGCGTACATATACCCTGTCTGATGCTTTGCCTTTGTCCAAGTGTCCAATGGGATGTCAATATCATTTTCCCTGTTTAGTATTATAACATGGACAGGTCGTGGTAGAATTCACATATCACCGAAGAGTCCTATCCCCAGGGTAGATAGACATGACGGCCGTGGTTGAGAACTTGAGATACATAGTTATCGGACAGAGATGACTAACCTGTAGGAAAGTACGTCATACACAATTCTATCGACTAGTCCCTGAATACTCGTAATTTGGTCCCTGGCGTCATCTGGCATATTCTACCCCATACATCGCGCCATCTAGTATGTATGTAGTATGAAAATACTAGTTGTGATTGATAATGAATAACATTAGTAATGATTCGGAAGAAAAACCATCCATCGGATATACATGGGTGGAGGCGAAAAAGGAAAAAAAAGGACCAATTGGCAAATGAGCGGGCGGGACAAGTGAACTTGAAGTGCCGAGAAGTTTAACCTTGAACTCCCGACGGCTTATGTGAGCCACTGATTGGAAATCAATGGCGAAAAACAAAAAAAAATAACTTTCCGAAGTATAGCATAAAAAGGAGGAGGACGCTTTTTTGCTTGATGAATCTCCAGACAAAAATCCAATTGAAGAACAAGTCCAAAGAGACAAGGTGATTGATTCATCGCAAGGGAAAAAAAAAACAAGAAACATAATAAATAAAGTCACAATGGCTTCTTCTTCTTCGAAACTCTTCACTCCCCTCCAAGTCGGGCACATGCAGCTCGCCCACCGCATTACCATGGCCCCGTTAACCCGCTTCCGAAACGATGACGACCATGTGCCCCTTCCCATCGTGAAGGAGCATTACGAACAGCGCGGATCCGTCCCCGGAACCCTCCTCATCACCGAGGCCACCCTCATCTCCCCGCGCGCCGGCGGCTTCGCCAACGTCCCCGGCATCTGGAGCGAGGCGCAGATCGCCGCCTGGCGCACCGTCACCGACGCTGTGCACGCCAAGGGCTCCTACATCTTCATGCAGCTCTGGGCGCTGGGCCGGGTCGCCAACCCGACCAACCTGGCGAAGGACGGCTACGACCTCGTCTCCAGCAGCGCCGTCCCCGCGACCCCCGAGGGCCCTGCGCCCCGGGCCTTGACCGAGGACGAGATCCGCGACTACATCCGCGACTACGCGCAGGCGGCGCAGAACGCCATTGCGGCTGGGTTCGACGGGGTCGAGATCCACGGCGCGAACGGGTACCTGATTGACCAGTTCACACAGGATACGGCCAACCAGCGCACGGATGGCTGGGGCGGCAGCGTTGAGAACCGCGCGCGTTTCGCGCTGGAGGTCACCCGGGCTGTGACGGAGGCCATTGGCGCCGAGAGGACGGGCATCCGCTTCAGTCCCTTCAGTACCTTCCAGGGGATGCGCATGGCGGACCCCGTCCCGCAGTTCGAGTATCTGGCGCGCAAGACGAAGGAGTTCAAGCTGGCGTATGTGCATCTGGTCGAGCCGCGCATTGCGGGTAACACGGAGGTCGAGGAGCCCACCGCTGACTCGTTGGATTTCTTCTTCCGTGCTTACGAGAACGCGGGCCCTATCATGGTGGCCGGCGGCTATAAGGCTGAGTCGGCCAAGGAGGCTGTTGACTCGCTCTACAAGGACTATGATACCCTTGTTGCTATGGGACGGCCCTTTACCTCGAACCCGGATTTGCCTTTCAAGGTCAAGGCGGGCATTCCTTTGAGGGATTATGAGAGGGAGAAGTTCTATCTGGTTAAGGATCCGAAGGGATACACTGATTATGAGTTTAGCGAGGAGTTCAAGTCTGTGCAGGTTGCTGCTTGATCTCGTTTTCTTTGTTTTCTTTTCTTTTTTTTCAAACTTTTTTTTGATGTTTACTTGCATTGCATTGCTGTGCATTATCAGGCGTTTGACTAGGTTAGAAGGCATGGACTATAGATGGGATTGTACATACATAATCTATCATTGCATATAAACCATTTTGTTCATCTTGAATCCGGATTGGCCTTTGCTCTCAGCAGGAACTGCAGTAGATGTCGTCATTATATATGGTCAGAGAACCGTACAAGGTTATAAAGAGGCCCGTCTTCTGATCTTACCTTCCATATACCAAAATAAGGGTCTACAATGCAATTGAATCATCGATACATGTGTTCTGCTATGCTCTGGGCACTGTAGCAGAAATTACAGAGTTGCCGAGAAGAACCCGAGTAGAAGGTTCTGCTCCAGATTTTTCGAAGGCTCTTATAGCTCAGTGAGGGAGTAACTAAACTATGAGTGTGATCTGGAATGATAATCACTCCATGGCTTATAGATACTCAAAAGCTTGGTGTTTTAGTCAGATGATACCTGCCACTGATTGCAGAATGCGGTATCAAGGGTCAAGAAAGTACCCACTGCTGTACGGCGTACTCCATAGTCCGAGCTCTATTGTAAACCGGAGATCTCACCGACTTGAATTACTTATACTCACTAGTTCCCGAAGGAAGCAGGCTAGCACTGAGAGGATGTGCTCGATAATCGAATCGTCGAACTCAAACAGAGCATTATCGAAGCTACGATGGTGTGAGAACGGTGTCGGTGAGCAAACAGTATTGGGCTAAGCTTCTGCAAGTCAGAACTTGGAAGTATGGTTCAAATCACCCATTCGTAGTTATGGGTATGTCCCCTCTGGTTCAACTGGTTCCTTCTGGTCACCGGACAGAAGATAGAGTGGGAAAGCGGAACCCGGCGGATGGCGACAAGAGCCAGTGATGGCGAAAGCCGCTCCCACGGTCCACCCGGGAAAGGTTTGCATCCCCCGAGGAATCAGCAGAGTGGGCTGAAGGCGACATTGCGCAGTAGATAGTTGCATATCGACTAAAAGACGAGCTGATATGGGGTCCTGCATCTATCCAGTAGTCCTGGGGACTAAGTATGCATGCAGATCGGGAAACACCTCGCCTTTGTCCTGCGTATCCATGGCGATGCATCATGCTATTCTGTCCACCAGAAACATTGCGTAACCCCCACCTGATCGTCTATCTCAGGAAGATTTCTTCAGTTGAGATTCAAGGTTTGTGACTATTCCGGTTGTTCATTGTGTTTCTTATCGCGCTTGGTGGTGGGAGTCTAGTTGATTCTAGCGTGGTGGGGAAAAAGCAGATCTCTGGCGAAAAGAGCGGTCAGACATCAATTGTTGGTTGACTCGAGAAAGAGAATTGACATGGACTCCAACCCCGATGGCATACCGCATCCATGTGATCCCACTAGGGAGATATTCAGGACGGAATAGTGTAGTCGAAATATTGAAGTTATATCGGCGTGATACCAAGTTGAACCTCATCAAAGTTTCCTATGGATGATCATGACACCATTCCCCGGCCTTTAAGGTTGAATTACCTTAATTCCTATGGGTTAAGTCAGTCGTTAGTCTCGTCTATCAACAAATCCCACATCGCCACCAAGAACAATGATCTCACGCAACTTGGCATACCCCAACCATCACCCACGCGGGGTCCATTCAAAGAACCAGACAGAAGAAGCCTGACTTACGGAGTGGGGGTCTTGAATTTCTTGGGAATTTCTTGGAATTCTTGGCTGGACTCTTCGCCCCCGGTAGTATTTCCTTTCCTACTCAATTTTTCGGCTCCTGAGGATGGTTTTTTCCGCTCCGCCGAACCGAAAGGATTCCTTTGGTGTTTCGTGGGACGGGGGCGGTTCTGGGATATGAATGGATGGTATTGGATACCTTGGGAGGGCCCAGAGTCCGAACATGATGGCCCCAGACCAGCATCCCCAAGCGTTTCTCGTCGAATCATAGAGAGACCATTGTGGCCTGATGACCTTGCCCCGGACTCGGCTGCAGAGAGAGAACTCGGTACCGGGTGCCTGGCCGCCACCACGTGGTGAATCCAAGGATTACGATTCTGATAATACTCTTTCTTATTTTGGTAGTTTGTAACTCTGTATTCTACTTCGGTCTTTGTCTTGGTTGTAAGTAAGTACCTTGGGAAGTATACCGTTGGTATACGGCCGGCTGTCGATCGCGCCCATCCCGTGACCATTGGTCAAGACCAAAAGAAATGCATGACGACGTTGTCATCAAAGCTCTCGGGCTATTGAGCGCTTGGGCACCAATGACCCAAACATTGTCTATTGGGTTGGACGACGACCTTTCCGCTTGATGTTTCAGCCATGTAGCACAAGTTACATGTCTAGAGCTTCCTTAGTTCCTCCAAATGCATAATATAATGGACAGGAGTATACAGTATGCCCTCTATTTACCTGGCACGGCATCGAATTCGGAATAGAGAATACCAAAGTACGGATACCGAGTATATACCGATGCCTTCAAGGATTCGACGCTCTCCACGTGGAGTACACATTTCTTGTGGGGTTCGATCGTGCACTCAACCATGGATCAAAGGCTCCCGGAGCAATGGAGGACTACAGGGATAACCTAGGTTATGGTCTTGGTGTGCCTAATTCGACGAGGAACAATAACATCATGTTTAGGGACTAGTCTAGGGCAATCTCGTATGCAGGGTCGCTTTGGTAACAGGTCTGGATGGATCACCTCCACAATCTCTCCATACTCTCCTCCAGACCCGTAGGATATTGGATTAGGGCCATGGGCAGGTATTCTTTGTAACGGATTTGCGCCAAGGGCGGTACATCCATAGACTTTGCGGGGAAGAACCTTGTACACCTGCCTTGATAATTGACGGCTTTATAGGCTGATGTACTATGTTTAGGTATCATATGCACCATTCACGGGCTGTCGGTAAATTGCCATGCATTCATCCTGACAGACACGGGAAACGAAGAGCCTGGATCATGGAGGGGTAATGGATTTCAGTCCGTTAATGCATGGACATACGCTGTAAGATAATTGCTAATATAGATTGCATAACATTAATTAATATAACCATAATATTAGGGCAGAGGGCCTCACCGATTGGTTTCCCATGTGAGTACACAGTATTAATTAGTTTACTCATCAAAACCTCGCATACTCCGGATGTTGGACCCCCCTCGGCCAATGGGATTCGCCTGGGAACAACTATGGATGCAGCTTAATTAGTACGTCGCCCCCAATAATTTAGTATGGCTTGCAGCAGGGGCTCAGCCGAAATTCACCACAATTTACGGCTGCCAAGGAAAGACCCGGCCTGGCCATGGCCACTTGGATGTATCTGGCCTGGTACGACGAGAAAAATTTTTTTTCATGAGTGGTGGTTTGTAATTCTTTTTGCCAAGTATCAATTATTGACCGGATTACGGAGAACTCCTTGGGGTATGGGCGCTATTTCCAACAAACCGGTTGATCGCAGCTCTGCGGATATAACCGACCAGAATCAACCTGAGAGTTGGACCTCTTCCTCGTTGCTTCTCAAAATTTCAATTGGTGGAGGAAATCGATGACCCCAAATCGATGGTGCATAGGCTGTCAGTGTCAGAAATTGGCCTCGGAACAAACATCATAGGACCTGCAGATCCAAACTTAACCCTTTGTTCCTGAGGATAAACAACCTTTTTGCTATACACAGTACAGTACGTGGCCAGAGGTCGCTGGATTACCGGGCCGCGTTTCGCTCGCAGACGATCTGCTGGTGTTACCCTAACGAAGTGCCTGGTCCGAATCCCGACTCCCATTGAGCAACCTGAAGTAGTGCTGATAAGCAACTCCTTCTTTTGGCCGGGCAGCCGCCATCCATGATAGATGCTCCTTGCCCCGGTCAATATCATTGTTCAGGGGCGAATTTAATGATGATAACCCGGAGGCGATGGGTCCCGCCCTGGCATCTGAGCTTGTTCATACGCCAACAACGAGGCTGTGAACGCTGGAATGGAGGCAAAGGGAGCATGGCGGAGCTCCGGAGTGTAAACAGTCAGCTTCCGCGGCAAAAACGGTCAGAAGTGAAATCAACGCCAAGTGGGCTAAGTGCGATCATTTCCCGTGACGGCGTCGTGAACGAAACAGCCTCCCAGCCTAAGTTACTTTAGCGCGCATTGGTCGCAGGCTCAAACTTCCAAGACTAACCCAGTTGAACCCACTAAGTTGTTTTTCCTCGCCGGTCAAGTCCGTGGGTCAAGATCACTCGGGTGAATCATTGGTGCGTAATCCGCCACCGATTACGGGTATTCTAAAAACACAATGGATGACATCCTGGAGCTTTTCTCGGTTGAGTTTGGCTTGGTGCTGATCAGTGTTGTTGGGGGAGAACTAGAAGGTTTGGTTTCTTTTTTTTTCTATTCATCACCTCATGCATCCTGCCAGTAGTAAATATCCCGGCCGATCAACGGAAGAGGGAGCGAGTCATCGTAGAGAAAAATGACACGCCAGAACCATAACATCTGGCGCGTTCGAAAAATAAAATAAAAGAAGCCGCCAAAAAAGTCAAAAGAAAATAAGGAATTTTGATTGTGGACCAACACACATAGTATAAGTATCTCCCGGGCTTCGTTCTATGAATCCATCACAGTCGTCAGCTTGCCCATGATAGTTCAAGTGGTGACACCAACGACGCCTCATGTCAAGCTTTCCGTCTACAGAGAGTCGCATTTGCCAGATTGATGGCCCGCAGACGATGTGCACGAGAGTTGGAGCATGTCTGGCATGAAGGGGTCCACTGCTGATGGTCTCTAGTCCACATGAGAAAATTACTAGCCTGGAAGAGTTAAGACACAGGTCAATGGTAACGACTCCTTGCGTAGATTGTTTCAATCTGTGGTAGGATCACCATTCCATGTTGAATCTCTGTTTGAATCTTGATGCTACATCTTGAGCAGAACCATACTCGACAGTCATCATGAACGAGTTTGCGTTCATGAAAACGGAC